AATGCCCTTTGGTTTTGTGTGTTTATGTGGAGCTTTTTAATTGATAAAAGGGCAAGATGCCTCAGACATATTCTGTTAATTAAGCAAAGAGACTTGTTTAACTAATTGATGATTTTCCATTGACTGCTTTGATGTTTTCAAAATGGTTATTTAATGTTTTGTAGGGTAATTAACATGTAGCACAGTCCATTAAGCCTTGTTCAACAATTAATTAGAAATATTTCTAAATGGCTGCAGAACTAGAGATATTCCTGCAGTAATATATGAAGATCATTTAAGACACATTATAGAAGACATTCCAGAATAGAATGATTGCGAGTGTGATTTTACTTTCATAGAAAAATGTACAATAATTGTAAGACACACACTGACGTAATATTGACAGTTAACCTTTGCTGCACCGGCTATATAATAATTCCAAACAAAGCCACAGCAGAATCAAACCTTTTCTGTAGTGCCGTTACTAAATTAATCTTTTTTTTTGGAACGATTCAGATAAGTGAATAATTCAATGACTCACCTATACTTTTTTCGTACCTGAATGAATACGATTCTATTCACCCCTTATACCCTCATTTACTATTCCTAACATTACTCCACTAATATAGTCCACTGAATGAGGGAATGAAAACGAGTGAGTGAATTTGGTTCCACTATGGTTTCAGACACCACTTCAAATGGCTGTAGGCTAGCTGCTAAAGAACTGTGAGTGTCACAACAAATGAATTCACGTGTGTTAGCATGGTATCCGGTGTACTCAGTGTCCGAATTTGCTTGCTCATTTTAAATCACTCATCCAGTAGATTATGTTAGTGGAGTAATGTAGGAAATAATGAATGAGGGTTTGAAGGTGCTTAAGTCTTATTCATTCAGGAACAAAACAAATATAAGTCATTGAATTATTCACTGAACTGAATCATACAAAAAAAAAAAAAAACTCTGATTCATTCAAGAACACCAGCAGAGAGATGCAAAAACAGGTTTGATTTTGCTGTGGCCTTGTTTGGAATTTTGTAGAGCAAATAATTTTACTCTTTACTGCACTTTGTTATCCTTCTAGTTTACCGAGAGTGTCTAAAGAATTGTAAGCCTTGCACATTCACAGAAAATGGTGTTTTAAAGAGTCGGTAGAATTGAATGTTTCAATGACTCACTTGTCATCTAATGCACAATCACAGATACTTATCTCATCCTTGCAGGCTTTTCATTTCCCATAAGAGTGTAACTTGTTTAGCTAGTTTGTTTTGTCAGTGATATTAATCAATACAATTCTGTGCACATCAGGATGGAAATGTTGTTTTGGCCGTCTGACTGCAGCATTTGTCTTCAGCTCACCCATCTGTGGCTCTCAGACAAATGGGAGCTGATATTCCATCAAACTGACCCTCGTGCACAAACAGAACATCTCGCTGTGAGTTAACCACTTTATGAACAACTCCACAGTTACCACGTTCACTTTAGAGCATGACCTCTAAATGTCTTGTGGAAAGACTCTTGGCTCCGTCTCTTGTGTCTCCCCCCGCCTCGTTCTCTTTCTTCATGGGTTTAGTATTGACAGAAAAGCTGAGAGTATCCAGGTAATATTTTCAACCCCGTCTCTCCACATACTCTCCCATTTATGGCCATATAAAGTTCAATTCTGTTATTTTGTGATTTAGTGTCTCTGCTGGCCCTGCGTTCCATGCCCTCAGTGGACCCGCTCATCTTGTTCTCATCCAGTCATTCGTTTTCCTGTGCACCGTGATTGGGTTATATCGAAATATTCATTCATCACACAGAACGACCTTTATTCCACTATCAATCAGAGGGTGTCGCGCGGGTAAAGGCTCTCCTCGGCAGCCCTCCCCCCTCCAGCACTTCTACACAGCACAAACAGCCTGATAATGTTGTGTTGCCTGCCATCCTCTCTTATTACTGCCTCCCAACTCAGATTTATCATCTTCCCCTCTCCTTAAAATCTGTAAAAATAACCTCCGCTTTGCGAGTGTGGTTCTTCATCATCCTTTACTTTTAGGCCTCCTTCTTTTATAGTGGCCTTTAATGGGCTTCACTGATGTGCGTGGGTGAGAGAGAGTGTATTGTACTAATGTTTATGATTATGACAGAGTTATAAAGGAAAATATTCTCCCTGACAGTCCCTTTTATCCAGAAAAGCTTTTGTTGCCATGGAAACACGTTTTTGGAGCTCAGAGCGCAATGATTGATATTTTTTAGTGATGAAAAAAAGAACAAAAAACTATATCAACATTATCTCTGATAGAAAAAAAATACTTTGTTAACTGCCACTAGACACTATTACAGGTTCAAAATATTTGTTTGTTAATGTGTGTTCCAATAGATGGGAATCAATATTTTAGTGCAGATATTACCTGCCTGTGACAAATGGATGGAAGGGGCAAAAGCAACAGGTAAACAGGTCCATTATGGATATAATGGAATTAAAATAACAAACATGATTCATTGTCATTTTTAAAAAAGGGAGTGACAATGTTCACCCCTCCCTTCGGAGTTCAGGGTTGTATCTAATGTGTATTCGATTAAATCATTTCCATTGCGGCTAACGATGTTCAACTAGCAGAAATAGGTCTGAAAACATGCCAGTGCTCATCTACCCATTCAGTTTTGAACAGGCCTCCTATCAATTATAAAATGTCAGCACATAAATTCTCCCCGATTTAAAAAACATGAGTGGAAGGCCATCTGATTGACTTCGCTCTGCTCCTAACAAGAAGCAATTTGTACTCTGCTATTTCCCCCAGTGAATAGATTACATGTGGAGAGAACAAATGTGATTAGAGTCTCTGTGTGTAATTTGAGTACGGGCCTGGATGTGATTCTTTCTATTGGGTTCTGTTTTTATTTATTTATTTATTTATGTTAAATATATTAGTGATGTGTCCTGCCTCCCTGCATTCCCCGCAGATGGACTTGAGTAACATCTTTTCCCATGTTATACATAGGCTAATACATATAAATAATTAATACATTTATGAATACACACATTAATATAATATAGGATACTTAATATAGCCTATATACGTAAGTGTATATATTTAATGCATGCCATAATTAATTATTAACATAATTAATAAATAAACTAACAAAACGTGCATTTACCAGCAAATTAATGACATATTAACAGATTACATGATGTTTGTTTCTATAAACTCTGAGATTGAGTAGGCTAGCTAATAACACTGTAACACGAACCCTTTAAAGTGTGCCCTTTTCAACAAGTTATGATATCAGAAATGTTTAATTCAAAATCTTTTTAATAAAGCCCTTCTTTCGTTAGCCGTGACCTTCGCTCTCAGCTACCGAGCTCGCATTCAGCTCACGCCCGCAGCTCGCGCTCCAGTCAGCGCTCGTGTCAGGAGTTCGGCAGCGCGAGAGCAGCGGCTCGGTAATTAGTCACCGTTAATATTCATTTAACGGACAGCGGCTGTAATTATAAAGCCGTGTTCCGTCTTATTAGCAGCTAATTTGTAGTTTACGCGAGCTCCTATTGATTATACGCATGGGTTTGTTGAGAGAGTTAAAGCTCGGCTGTTTATAGAAGAGGTTTTATATCACAGAAATACGTTTTACTTCAGCTACTGTCAGATACTCAAGGTTGGCACGATACCTATTTTAATATTGCGGTAGACCTAATAAAACAAAAAAAGGTTTTAAGGAATCCTCGTATTGCAGTTTTCTCGATTGTTAATATAACTGATTTTAGTTGGCACTTCCCCCCCAAACCATTAATTCAGTTTTCAAAACAAAGACACCTGTAACCTGTAAGAAAAACTGTAATAACTAGATTGAAAAGTTTGAAAGACAAATTTATGCTGGCTTGTCTTAAAGTCTTGTTTAAAAAACGTAAATGGTTTGGTCAGTTAGATGTTCTAGATGTTTGCTAAAGTGTTGCTAGTTGGTTGCAAGGATATTCTGGGTGGTTGCTAGGCTCTTGCTATGCAGTTGCTGGGGTGTTGTTAGAGTATATGGTTGATAGAGTTTGTTCTGGGTGATTACAGATATTCCCCCCTCTGTTAAGAACAGAAAATCAAACATTGTTTTCAAAACTGATCCAGTTTCAGTGCTTTGATATTATTGTATTTCTTTCTAATGTCAGGAAATTCAAAAGTGTTTGTTGCTCTTAAACTTGCACTAAACGTGATTATACTATCTAAGTAGCCTATGTAATTTTATTAGAACCGCATGTCTTCTTTAGTGATACAAGTTCAGAAACATTTATAACCTGTTGAAGTTTTTTACGTTGTGTATTGACTTGGTGCAATGATGGATATTAAAATGTTATTTATTTTTTATTTTAAACAGTATAGATGATTACTTAATGGTAATACAATATTTGTGAACACAACTGTGTATGTCAGACCATAAATCCCCAAAAACTATGCATGGGGGCTTGCTTTGGTGTTGCCACCCCTCATAGACCCCATGCCACCCCTTTGCCACCCTAAAAAATATTTTCTAGATCCGCCCCCGTTTAGGCATATGTTATTGGATTATTATATTTACTACATTTTCTATTGAAAACCTAAGGAGAATTTCTGAAGAATCTTCATGCAACTAATTTCACAGTGTTAGCACATCTGTTACCAAGCTCCAAAACAGGACAAAAACAAAACAAAAACTAAATGTTATAATTTGTTTAATTTCCACATTTACCATCTCCATTATTAAATGGTTATTTTAATTTCAGTCTAAAATTAAAAATTCCCATTTACTGCATATTGCATAGATATTTGGTGCTGGATGGAATATACTTACTGCTGAGATTAGTGCCGCATTTCTGATAAAAGATTTATTAAATTGTGATAATAAAAGCCATTATATTGCACATTATATTACACCCACATTAAAACAAGCCACATCATTAACTTTGATTAGACTGCAATGGAGTTTGTGCTCTAACATAGCCATGAAAGCAAGTTGCAAGTAATTACTGCATAAAAAAGGCTGGTTATTAGCCAGTTTTGTCTTCATTTGTGATTTTCAGTTGGTCATTTGCCTGCCAAATCCCACAGGTCAGATTCTGGCTGAACCCAGTCTTCTCCCATGATGTTTTGCAGAGTGAAGTCTTGAAAATACTCAAGTCGATGGCTGTTCAGATGAGAGAAGAAAATGTTAATATCCTGGTGGGGGGGTGGAGCAAAATATAAATATATCTAAGTATAGGCTATATCTTTAGATTTGTTATAAATTCATTATCTTTTTGTCAATCCACCGATTCACATTTTCAACTGTATGTTTTCTAAACTTACTTATATTATAAAAAAATAAGGGTCGATTTTGGCTTTGGTCTCAAAAAAGAAAAAAAATACTTATTGAAAAATGCAAATTCATTCTCTGCCAGCAGATGGCGCTTTCGGAATGGCAGAAATATTGCGGTTTCCCCAGTAACAAAGCAGCTTGACATGATTATTCATATAATGAGGTTTGGGCCATACAAATTACAGGAGTTTTACCAGAGGTGAATGTAGTAAATATATCAAATACGCAGAATATTTAAACGGGATGATAGCGGGATAGAATGGTAAAGTACGGGAGAATCCCGGGAAAAACGGCAGGGTTGACAGGTATGTGTTAAGATCTAATAAAATCATATTAAGATATCTAAACTTACAAGTCTGGTCCCTGTCCTTCTTGTAGGTCTTCTCTAGGAACAGGATACAGAGCCTCATAGGTCCTTCCTGCTCCAGAGCCATGGATGGCATAGGAATTCATCTTATTAATGCCCTGAGGGAAATACCTCCAAGGTAGAAGTGCTTCTCCCTTCCACTTGTTGTCCTCTATATTGGCTTTGAATGATAGAGGGAGTTGTTGCTGTAGCAGGTTATAGCATAAAAATTATTACAAAATAACAAGCTAATGGTAAAGAATGTCATAAGAACATTTCACATCACTCTATGTTTTCTACCTCCTGTACTATTTCATTGCATTAAGAATTCCTTAATGTTTTAATGTTTATAGACTTTTAATCAGCAAGAACATCTTAAACTGATCAAAGGTGTCGACAGTAAAGGCATTTATAAATGTATCATGGTTTTCACAAAAATATTAAAGCACAGCTGTTTTCCACACTGAAAATAATAAGAAATGTTTCTTGAGAACCAAATCAACATATTAGAATGAGTTCTGATGGATCATGTGACATCGAAGACTGGAGTAATAGTCAAATATAAAAAGTCATTTTTAAATAATAGTAATAATAATATTTCACACTACTACTGTATTTTTTATCAAATAAATGTAGCATTGGAATGAAAATAAGAGACTTTGTACAAAAACACAAAAAGACCCCAAACTTATGAACATTAGTGTAAATATTTTTTAAAAGCTGAAAACAATAATAAACTTATGTACAATGTGTATTTTATTACCATAAATGCATTATGTTTTCCATTCAATAGCAGAATCAGGTGTTGTCCATGTCTGTAATTTCAAAATATTATTTCAATTACACATTAGCAATGACAAATCTTCCTGCTGTCTGAAAAACACTGTAAGCTTAACTTACGGGCAGACTTCCACCTCCAGATACTGCTCAGTGTTGTTGTTCAGGAAAAATGACTCTACCACTGAAAAATTAGTCAAAGAGAAAAAAACTGTAAAAACTGTCAACTGTTTCATAAAATTCGAATTCAAGTTTCCATCAAAGTTAAATCACTTTTACTTATCTGATAATTATATGGATAGTCCAAGGATCAAGGCTGCATGTGCATATGCAACAAGATAAGTTGATTGCACTAATTTGTTATATAATCACATGAAAGTAAGAAACCAAATCTATAAACTAAAATTGACAAATTTGACCACAATTATAGTATAGATGAACATACCCTCATAGTCCCAGAGACCAGGGAACGGCTCTCCAGGAGATCCGGCTGGTGCAGGGGGGTCATTAAAAAAAGGAGCAGTCACTTGCATTAACAAACCATCCTCGCCAGGTGAGAAGCGAATCTTTACCGGCTCATGATCCACAGGTAAACTGTCCCAGGTATGTTTGATATGGAACTCCATGGCAGTCAGGAGGATACAACCGACGCAGACACTGTTAAGCATGGTAAAATCTTATTTTCTTCTATCAAGACCTGAAATAATAATAAATGACTATCTAGCTGAGTTTAACAAAAAGTTATCAATAATTATATACTTATTTGTCTGTTTATATATAGACTTTAAAGTATCAATATATATCCACAGTTCTGTGCTCTAATACATCTTAAGCAGCTCAGGACACAGGACTGTCTGATATGAAATAAAGTTCAACAGTCATTGATAAGCAATACATCTGATATCATAAACATAACACCTGATGTCGTGGGAAGAACACTTCCTGATTTGTGGCATATATCAACTAAGCGTCCAACAAATGTTTCAGTAGTCAGGCACATAGTCGGTATTAAAAAAAAAATGAAAACAAAATATTGAAGTAATGTCTTGCCTTATTCGATCACATCAAGGGCCCTCATTTTAATAGTTCCTCAATTCAAGAACCATGAAAAACAGGAACTCCATAAACTGGAACTCCATAAAAGGATTTGGAGGTACCTAATACCTATCCTTTGAACTTTACATTTATTTACATGTTTCTGCTACTTTGTGATATTACGCGATGGCAAAAATAAGCATTTGTAGTTTTTAAGTTGATATGACAGAGTGTTCAGCACGTTTATAATGAATGTTGAAATATGTGTAGTCGTTAGCCAAATCTCCACCTGGATACCAATGACGCTTAATGCTGCTGCTGCTGAGATTACAGACCAAATTCGCTTCTTTTTCATTTAATCTCTTTGTAAAATATATATTATTTCGTAATCTAGTTTATTAAATGTACGTTTACTCGATTAGACCAACATGATAGATGATATGGTTCTACAGAGTCAGTTAATTCAATGGTAAACCAATATTCCTACACAAAGACAGTTTCCAGGGATCATTTGTGCTGGCTGTGTCTAAACTGACTGCTTCAGAAGGCAAATTGTTCCCCGTTGCGTACAACCTACCTGCCGACCCACATACTAAATGTTATTATAGTTATGTTGATGATACAGTTTTGCAAAGCATATGGTTTGTAGTTACGTTTGACCTAACAAAGTTTATTGCTGTTGCAGATGCAAAAATGACAACAGAAGTCGACTATCTTCGAGATCAAGGTGAAACACGCTAGATCACAGAAATAATGGTGTGCAGATGCATGCGCGGTTTTACAATCACGCATATTCATCAGCACTTGAACTTTGTTTTGTGTCTTATCAGTGAATCGTCTGAACTCCGTCCTGGGTCGATATCAGGATGAATTTCCTCCTCCCTCCTCAGTGTCACAGGTCAGTTATATGATTAGATGGCAGTTTTATCTGTTGAATTGTGTAGAACAGGGGTTTCAACCAGTGTTGCCAACTGCTTTCAATTGAAAGTAGCTAAAACTGGTAGCTAAATGTCACTAGATGACATCACAATGGCAAATTCACTGATCTATATAAAGATGATTGTAGATCAGTGCGCAAGAGGAGAACTTAGATAAGGTTTGTCCAAGAAGTTGCTATATTTGTCCCTAAACTTTTGAAAAAAGTCTCAAAAGGGGCGGGGAAGTCGCTAAATCTAGCTACAAAGTAGCTAAATTGGCAACACTGGTTTCAACTCGGTTCCTGGAGGGCTGGAGCCCTGCAGAGTTTAGCTTCAACCCTAATTAAACGCACTTGATACAGCTAATCAGGTCCTTCAGGCTTATTTGAAAACTACATGGTATGTGTGTTGGACTCAGCAGGGCTGTGGTGCTCCAGGAACTGAGTTTGACACCCCTGATGTAGACGATCATCTCTAGATATTTACATAAGCTCCTATGGTGCATAATGAATGTTTTAAGTATAAAAGAAAGTTCAATAGCTACATAAATACAAATTCTATTATCATTCTCATCCTCATGTTGTTCCAAGTCTGTATGACTTTTTTTCTTCTTTGCGTAATGCAAAAGGAAATGTTAGGTAGAATGTGAGAACTAACAGCTTCAGTCATCATTCACTGTTATTGCATGTGAGTATATGAGCTCATGCAGTCTCTCTCTGTCTCCTGAATGATTTTCTGTTTCTTCATTTAGTTTTTTTCTTCTTTCCGCTGGCTCTTATCACAGCATTTATGAATGTTTAGTCCCATGACTTGAGGAACAAAACTCTTTTTTAAAGACAGAGGAAGGTATAAGGACAAGAAAAATGGGTCTGATTCAAAACTGTTCAGCCACTTTCACATTAAATTGTTCTCTGAATTGACTTCGCTTCTAGTTTCATTTAAGCTTGTCTTTTCTGCTCTTTTCTCATCCTCTCCTCATCATTTGTTTTATCTATTTGCTTTGCGTCTCTATCTTGTCTCTTCTCTCTTTGTCTCACCTTGTCTCTACATCTTTGCTTGCCTCAACTCTTCTTGTTTCTTCTCTTTGCCTCTCTTCTTGGATCATCTTGACTCTGCACTTCTTTTCTATCCTGTCTCACATTGTCTCTTGTGTTTTCTTCTTTGGTTTATATGTACACTTTAACTGTCTTGTTTTATCTTGACTCTCCTCTCTTTGTCTTGCCTTTCCTTGTGTCTTCTCTTCTTGTTTCTACTCTGCTCTTCTTGTCTGACCTCGTCTTTTCTCCTCTTGTCTTGTTTCATCACGTCTTGACCCTTTTCTTTGCTGCTTTTCTCATTTCTTCTCGTCTAGCCTTGTCTCACCTTGTCTCTTCTCCACTTTTCTTATATGGTCTCATCTTGACTCTCTGCTACTCATTTATTTCTTCTCCTCTTTAACTTCTCCATTCTCCTTCTGTCTTCTCCATTTTTCAACTTGTTTTGAATCTTCTCTTTGCTTCTCATTTTGTTTGATTTTGTCTCTTCTCTTCTCCCCTCTTCTTTTCTGTTATTGTCTCATCTCATGTTTTCTCCACTAGTCTTGTCTCATCTTGCTTCGTATTGCTTTTTGTATTTTAATAAATAAATTGTATTAATAATAAATACATAAATAAACAGAACAACTCCTAAATTAAACAGGATTTCTTAATTCACCCTTCAGCAAATTAAGCCCTAAAAAGGTTTTAAATTGAAGCAGATTTTATTATTAATTTAGTATTAAATGTTGAATGGACTTTTAAAAAAAATGAATATTTTCCTCAGTGTTTTTTTTTGTTTTTCACATCTCATTATCAAAAATATCTAAACATCCTTAAATCAAAATGCATTTACTTAAGATGTAAATTTGTATATATTTTTTTTACTTGATATTAAAAAGGTCTTAAAAGTCTTAATTTAACTTCATAAAGCCTGCAGAAACCCTGAATAAAGGCTCGAAACACTTGGGATATTGTGTGTAGACTTTTTTTTATTTTATAGACGGGTGATCTGCTCGTGGAATCTGCAGCTCCCTGGCTCTCAGACGGGTGAGTCTCTACAGCCAATTACAAACCTACTACTACAACCTCTAGCTGAAGTTCACTACTATTTTAACCATGCATCCAGTTCGTAATTAAAAAAGAAAAAATTCAGGCCTTTTCATGAACACCATGCCGCTGTAAATAATCTAATTTTGAAAGAGTGGCTCAAATTTGTACTGAACTTAAAGAGAGGCTTGCTGGGGCATAAATGTGCACACATTGTTATGAATGTTCTGTTTATTTTTCTCACCTTTGACCTTTTTTTTTTTATTGCGGTGACAACTTTTGCAAAGGCAAGCACTGTTCCAATATTATTTAATTAGAAAATATATCAAATTTAGTGATGTTTTCATTTTAGTATGTATTATTAAAATTATTATGATTTGAGTAATTATATCTATATCTATCTATATATATATATATATATATATATGATAAAATCTGAATTTCATATTAAAAAAGTGCTATATAATATTAACATTCTAGAGCTTTTCAAATTTATGTAACTGCCCTAATATTATTTATTTCTAGTGATTTGACAGCGTAACCTGCCACATCTGATTTTTACTCGCATTTGAAATTAACACTTGCTATCTTTAAAAATCTATTTTTATATTAAATATTTACTTTATATTATATATTATAATATATTATAGAAATATTACAATTATTAATGAATGAATGATGGATGCATTTATATAGCGCTTTATTGTGTATTGCTCTACACCCAAAGCGCTTTACAATTATGAGGGGGGTCTCTCCTCAACCACCACCAGTGTGCAGCATCCACCTGGATGATGCGACGGCAGCCACAGGACAACGGCACTAGTATGCTCACCACACACCAGCTACAGGTGGAGAGGAGAGAGAGTCATAGAGCCAATCAAGTGGATGGGGATTATTAGGAGGCCATGATGGTCAGAGGGCAGTGGCAGCAATTTGGCCAGGACTCCGGGGTCACACCCCCACTCTTTGCGAGAAGTGCCATGGGATTTTTAATGACCAGAGAGTCAGGACCTCGGTTTAACGTCTCATCCGAAAGACTGTGCTTTTTTGACAGTATAGTGTCCCCATCACTAACTATACTGGGGCGTTAGGACCCACGCAGACCACAGGGTGAGCACCCCCTGCTGGCCTCACTAACACCTCTTCCAACAGCAACCTAGTTTTCCCAGGAGGTCTCCCATCCAGGTACTGACCAGGCTCAACCCTGCTTAGCTTCAGTGAGCAACCAGTCTTGGGCTGAAGGGTGATATGGCTGTAGAAAAAAAACGTGCTTTTACCTTTAAACCATGCCTTTAAAAGTATCTACTTTCTTCTGATATGGATTTAAGTTGATTATGTGTGCGTGGAGTACGCTCCAGGTGCTCCTGAGGATTACATATCAACACTTGACATTACAGAGTAATGAGATATTAGTGTGTCACTCATCAAGCGTTCCACTTTCAGCCCGACATTGCCCTCCTTTAGGGAGCAGTTCACCAGAATGTTGTTGCAAATCACATCTAAACCTCTCTAGAAAGCACATCAGTTCAAGTCAAGTCTCAAGTGACTTTTTTTTGAGTTTGTGGACTTTCCAATTCATATTCACATTTCTGTTTTCCTAATTAACTGAGAATGAAGTAATTAGCTGTAAATGAAACATCCAGAGACATTTCTCTGCCTCCTCCTCCTCTTCATAGAGATGGTAATACGGAAAAGAAGCACAGTTAAAAGGAGAATAGTAACCGCATAGCTGTATTATATTATAATTATATTATATCTATCTGTTATATATTACAATGTATTGGAAGTTTAAAATATATTCACGATGATGTTGCCAATTAAAAATAAGCCATATCATGAATATTGCAAAACTGTGTGCTAGTTTTCCACTCCTTGTCTTGCAAAAAATAATGAGAGCATTAAGACTAAAATATTTTAATGGCATCTCTGGTTTAAAACTCGTTAGCAAAAAGGGGTTATAGATATGATTCATTCATGCAAATCAGTTTTTGCAAACTGTCCGTTTTAATGAATCGGTTTGAATTCAGCAATTCATTTGTATTAATACTCAGGAGTAGTCACAGACATTTGACATTTTAAAATGTTTTTATAAAAACAAGTCAGTTTGCATCAAAAAAATGTAATTTAAAAGCATACCGACTCGAGTCATAGCCAAAACATTTAAAAACTATAACTGCTACAGCTTTAAAAAAAAAACTTATATGTGTATATATGTGTATTCCCTGCCAATAAATCTCATGACCTTGGCATTGCTAGCTTTATAATGCCATGCTCTACAAGTTGAGCTGCAGGATAAATATATCAATTCAATTAACATTGCTTCTGTACTCTACATTAACATTGCGTCTCAGATAGCAGTGGTATTCAGAGAGAGGTTTAGATACACATTCATGAAAGGCCACAATCATAGTATGTTTACCTTCGATTTGTTCTATGTATGTGTCTCCAGGAGAAAGAACGTGGCAGACAGCTCAAATGTGGCAGACAGCTTTGCAAGAGTTGGATCGACTTCAGACCCAGTACCAGAGCTCCATGGGTGATGGACAAATACACGCAGTTGAATGGCAGCACATGCAGGTTACAGTGTTTATATACTAACACTTTCACATGTTCAAGTTCAGTCTATTTATAATGCATGTAGGAGGTCATAGGTTTCTTTTTAAACTCGACAGATTTAGCACATATTAGGTGTCCATATTCATATTTGGTTTCTGAAAACAGTTCACTATCCTCTTTAATTTTCTCACTTATTTCTGGAATGCGTAATATGATGATTGAACACTAGAGGACACTAGATGTTTAACTTCATACAGGCACCGTTAACTGAACAGACAGACCAGCAGCATTTGACAACAATTATACATAGACCAGAAGGCATGGCCGAGCTTAATTATTTGAATATATGAATTCAATATTAGCTGTTGGCTGTAAAGTACTGGCTTAATTGTGGCTTGAAGCTTATTATAATACACATTAATTAAATATTGAAATGCTTTGTCTGTGCTCTTACTGACAATCACTGTGCTGTTTTAGAATCAGCTGGCACATATTCAGCAACACACCCAAAAGCTCCAGCTGACCAATCAGAAGCTGGAATCAGTAAGACTGTCTCTTTCAATATGTAAGCAATACTGGTTAAAATCTACTGTATTTGCCCGTTTTATTGTGCATGGTTCATCTTTTTTTTTTATCTGTTTTATTCTAATTAAATCATTTTGATTATTTAATTAGAATAAAATTAATTATTAATAACCATGATTTTTCACAAAATGTAATAACTTTCTCCACCTTTTAAATAATATAATTTTTTGACATTTGAAAACTTGTATCTTACTTTGCGGTCTCTTTGTTCTCACATAATTATATCTTTACAATATTTAATGTCTATATACGTGTTTATTTAGTAAATAAACCCTCTTTATTTTGTGATAATGGCCTGTACATTATCCCTTATATATGTCATCGGCCACTTTTCATGATCCAATCAGTTCTAGACGGAATAAAATCAAGCCCCACTGAAAATTATTTTACCCAAAAAATATAATTTTATATCTTTATGAAAGGGTTTTATTAGTGATATCAGTGCCATATACAGTGAGTTGTTATGCAATGGTTTTAAAAGCCTAATCCTTGTAATGTCTGTCGCACACTTTTTTTCACACTAGTCAGAACACCACCTGTTTGAGTGAGTGTTGTTCATTGTTTAGCCTTTTGTGTGTGTGTGTGTGCGTGTGCGTGTGTGTGTGTGTGTGTTGGTTGTGGAGAAAAATACTACTCTATTCCTGAATATTTAATGAGCAGTTTAGCTCTCACACACCCACCTTTTTCACACCTATCCCATCTCGACCTCCAGACACCCTCTGTCCTCTCCTTTGTCCTTGAATTTCTTTGGAGTGTGTGTTTGGCGTTATGCCCGGCCAGCGTTCATGTCTTTCCTGTCTCACTCAGAACAATCAGCAGTTCCTGAAAACGGTGGCTGAACAGAGCAGTGAGCCGGAGGAGTTACGCAGCCAACTCAGGTAGTGTTCCAGATGGCCAACTCTTTGTGACTTAACCTTGACTCGAGTTCTGTTTCACTACTTTAGTGCAGTCAACATTTACGTCAGAAGACTGAAAATGGTTTTTCTCACTGTTCTTGAAATACCTCTGAATCTTTCTGATTTTAAAAGATTGCGGTGCATTTTTGATCCCATTCCCCCATCGGTTCCTGTCCTCTCTCTAGTATGCCATCAATAAAAAGAAGTAAAAAGGTCAAAATTTAGAAAGTACTGAAAGATCAACTTTATATGTTTATTTGTGTGTGATGTTTCAGTCAAGCAGTGCTCGAGCAGAGATCTTCTGCGACTAAAGTGGAGGAGAAGACCAGACTCCTGTAGAATGTCCAGGATCAGATGCAGAGGCGGGTGAGAGACAGACAGCTTGCATACGCTGTTAATGTTGCTATTATTGTCCTCATGTAAATGCTCTCTAATGCCATGTCTGTGTAATGGTGCAGGAAGAGGATGCAGCAGAAGCTCAGGGTAGAGAAGAAGCATCTGATCGCAGACTACAACAGCTACAAGCAGCACTGAAGCAGCTAGAGGCCAGGTGAAGTTTATGATTTCAATTATGATTTCATTGTGATAGCTAGAGTGTTGAGGCAGAAACTGTGCTAGATGTATCGATGATGCACTACTGTGTAAAATGTTTTGAGTCTGTATGATTTTTGTTTTTTTGGTAAATATTAATACTTGCGTTCAGCAAGGTTGAATGAAATTAATTGAGAAACAGTGAAGACATTTATAATGAGATTTATGTTGTTCTTTTAAACATTCTATTCTTCAAAGAATCAGGAATAAAATGTATTGTGGTTTCCACGAAAATAATGAGCATGACTGTTACTGTTTACATTAATAATAATAATGATGATCATTTTAAAATGTTAAAAAAGAAAACAGCTATTTTGAAATGTAATATTTCACAACATTTCTGTTGATTAAATAAATGCAGCCTTGATGAGCATAAATGTGATGCTTTAAGGCCTGTTCACGCCAAGCACAGTGCGTCTAATGGACATGAAAATATTTTCAAAATTATTCTGATAAATACATTTCATTACTATTTGAGAAATTGAAAATCTGAATGAATTGTTTTGTATATGATAATTAAATTAGAATTATTAATAAAAAAATAGATTTCGAAAGGGAGGGTAGAACAATAATAATCTTTTTCATGTATTTTACTGCATTTAGTTTTGCAAAAACAAATATATAAGTGTAATTTGTTTTCTCTTGCAAGGGAGTGTGTATAGATTATTTCCTATTTAAATCTTGTCGAAAATATGGATATGTTATTTTATTTTTATTTTTTCAGACTCAAAGCTGCAACGCAGGACTCTGAGTCAGTGCGCAGGAAGCAGACGGAGTGTGAGCAGCAAATGGGAGAACTGCAAGGTTGCTGCGCCTCTCTGGAAGAGGAGAAATTTGAAACCCTCAGTCGCCTCCGCAACTCCATCCAGTTGGCTGAGGAGGCCTCGCTTCAGAGAGAACAGGTCACGCTCCAAATAAACACACCACACGAGCCCAATGCAGGTCCTCCTCTATACATACCTGACTACACATAATCTAAAATAATTTTGGTGTGTGTATGCTACTCTAGGCTCAGCTGAGGGAGAAACAGAGAGCAGAAGAGCTGGAGAAGATGAAAGATGCCATGAAGCAGCTGATCCAGGATGCTGCCATGCGCACCAGGAAAGAGGTGAGCGCTGCCAATGTTCTTGAACTTTGCAAAAGAATAAGCTTGAGGCATCAGGTCTACTCTCAGACATGTTAAAGGGGTCATATGAAGCGATTTCAAGTTTTCCTTTCTCTTTGGGGTGTTACAAGCTGTTTGTGAATGGATAAGATCCCTAAAGTTGCAAAGACTAAAGTCTCAAACCCAAAGAGATATTCTATTTAAAAGTTAAGACTCGTCCATGCCTTCCTAAAATGCCTCGTTTAAACACGCCCCCACATGTCTACGTCACTGTGTGGGAAGATTTGCATAACACCGCCCAAATGTTCACGCAAAGAAAGTTGGCATAACGTTTATTCTTGCTGTAGTATTGTTGCCGTCGTGAAGACGCTGTGTGTTTCGTTGCGAAAGCGAAAAAAATACTTTGTTTGGCCTTCCAAAAGAGGACACAACTAGAAATCAGTGGTTAAGTTGTATTTACAACACTGTTCCAGAACAGTTCAAACCAAATATTCACGTGTGTGCAATGCATTTTATGGAGGACTGTTTCCTGGACCTGGTAGAGTAGCCTACAATGCTAGCTGTTCTGACTCACAGCCTGTAAGTATGTTTTCATATTTAAAGAATTTGCCACTGATGATTCAAATGTGAGTTTTGAGCAGTATAGAGTAGCGCTTGTTGTTTGTCATTTCTCCGATCACAAATGCAGACATGGTTTTATGTTTACGCGGCGCGATGCAACGCAACGCGTAAAAAGACAGTATAAGTCATTATAATCCGTAATTATGTCCCCACTCGTTTGTAATGGGTTTTATTGGTTTTGTCTTTTCGCACCGGGACACGGCATCACAGTATGGTGAGGGGCGTAACATTTCCGTCACACGCTTGAAGTATTCGGCCAATCACAACGCACTGGATAGCTGGCCAATCAGAGCACACCTCAGATTTTCAGACCGATGAGCTTTGTAAAAATCGAAGCGTTTCAGAAAGGCGGGGCATAGAGGAGAAACAATAATGTACAGTATGTGGAAAATAATGTGTTTTTTGAACCTTAAACACATTTCATTACACCAAATACACAAAATAATGTTCTTTTTTAACAACGTCATATGACCCCTTTAAATTAGGCTCTGCTCCAGCTCTAGTGAGACTACTTGGACAATATTTTAGGTATCATGGTCTTTAGTCAGGGTAGACAACATTACATTTGACACAAATGAAAACAAAGTCTTGAGGGATCAATATACACTTTTTAAAGTTTTTTTTTTTTTTCAAGCTTTTTTTGTCAGCAGAACCCTTTAGACAATTTTTTTTATTTCTAGCACCCTGAGATTTTAAGTTAATGTAATAATATATTAATATTAAACTTTCATAACACAACACAATTCTTTGCAATATCTTACTGTTTTATCTGGGCTTGACAGTTAAAAACTAACATGGGTGTCAAAAACTTCAGTTTAGCTTAACTGTCGAGAAGAAACTCAAGTTCAGCGTCCCAATTGAAACTCAAGCATTCCATCAAATTCCTCCATCCTGTAAAAGCACCGCCAATGTTACCTTTGTTTTACATGGTTGTCTGTCTCTGTTTGGCAAGTCTTTAAATTTTGGCTTGCACTTCTGACACTAAATCTGAATTTCTTTTTCCATGCAATGGCACAGCGTTAAAGATTAAAAGCAAATGTACTTCTGTGAACGCTGTAAAGCTCTACAGCCAAAAATAGCCTGACTGTTAGCACTGGCACAGCATGGTTATGGCACAGTCAAATCAGCGTCGTTCTAGTTTCTAATTTTAGTGTTTGGATTCATCTAATTTGTGATCACAGTGTACATTCATTATTTGCATCTCATTCAAATGTTTTTCTTTTCCTCCTTTTATAGGTTGAGAGTGTCCGTAAGCAGTGTAACGTTCAGATTCATCGAATGGCTGAGGAGCTTTCTGCCCTGCAACTGGTGACACTTTCATCAGCATATGTACAGATGTGTATAGCTACAACTGTCACCATTGCATATCAACATGTCTCTTATGGTTGTGTGTGTAGGAATGTGCCGATAAAGAGACACGGATTGAAAGAGCACATCGGGAGAGAAAAGCTGTGGAAGAGGAGCTGGAAAAGGTGCAAATAAATGCACATTTTTATCCACACAATCAAATGCACTAAGGCTGTATGTTGCTGTGATATCACAGTTAAGGAGTGTTACTAGGCATGATCTGACAAAGTGCAAAAAGCTGTATTGGATTTCCGCCAGACATATCGTTTGGTGTTGAGGCCAAGAAAGATCATGTGACGCTGAAGACAGGAGTAATGGCTCCCATCACAGGACTAAATTGCTAAAATAGAAAAAAAATATTTCACAATATTACTGTTTTTATTGAATTTTTGAGTTTAAAAAAATGCAGCCTTGGTAAGCATAACAAATGTTTTTTTTTACATTTTTAAAAATTGTGTGTTTGTGTTGTAGGTCTATAAAGAGGGCCGAATTGGAGAGCCTGAGATGAGGAAGATGGAGGCTCTACATCAGAGATGTTTAAATGCTGAACGACTGAAGGACGAAACGCAACTCGCACTCAACAGCACGAAAAACAAGATGAAGAAGATTGAGATGGACTGAGAACACACACACACACGCCCATAAACTAGACCGAGTGCAAATACAAGGGTGCATCCAGAATAGTTTACTGCTTGTGTAGGTATTCGGAGGAGCTGTCACGCAGTCAGGAGGAGGTGCGGAGGCTGCAGTCCGCGCTGACGAGTCCGAGAGAGGAGAGCACAGCTATCAGTGAGGAGAGACTCATGCTGCAGCAGGAGAACCAGCAACTGCACAGAGACATGGAAGCAATGCGCAAAAGAGTGTGCGCTCGCTCAGAGACGTGCCAAACAACAGGTTACAAATAGTTACATTCTCATATATAGTCTTACAAAGCCATTGTTTGCCCTTTAAAGGGATAGTTCACCCAAAATGAAAATTACCCTATGATTTACTCATAACCCTCTCACACAAACGCTTGTCAATGCCATCTGTTGTTGTTGCAGTCTATACTATTCTGTTGTTTTGTTGTTGTTCCATCTCTTAAGTTTCGTTTTCTACTGTGATTTAAAAAAAAAAAAAAACGGCCCGGGGCCTGTGTTGCCACCTTGTGGAACAACAGATTAGTGCAAAACCAAGTCAATACACATGTGCCACCTGCGACCTCGTACAGTTACAAAAATCGGATGGTGCGCGTACAGTATGCAAATTTTATTCGGGAGTCTAAATTTGCGTCACATGCACTCTACGCGTACCCTTGCGTACATGTAAAAACCAAACTATACTTAGGCCTTTAAGATTTGAACTGACATGAGAAAAGACCCAAGAGATAGTTCTCCCAAAATACTTCGTGTCATAGAAAACTGGATTTCTGTGCTATTGATGTCACAACTGAGCACATTAGCATATATATGCCCACCTTTACATATTAACTAATTATTATTCAGTAACTTGACCCAATCTAATGAATGATAGTGTGAACTGCAATAATATGCATAGGTTAAGCAATCATAAAGGTCATTCACATAAAGTTGTTTAAGGAATAGTTCACCCAAAAATCAACATCAGTTATTCACCCTCATCTTGTTCCAAACTCGTAAGACTTTCGTTCATCTTCGAAACACAAATGAAGATGTTTTTAATCAAACTTGAGAGATTTCTGTCACTCCATGGAATGTCTATTGCCCCAAAGTTTTCATGATTCAAAAAGTTAATTAAAACATCATAAGAAGTCCACAAGAATTAGTTCACAAATTAGGTCAGTAGTTCTTCACATGTAAACATTGATCAATGCACTTACATAAAGCACATGCAAACAAAAGCTGAAACATGCTTGCTTGATGTACAAACAACAGTACTTGCATGACATGTGAGAACAACCCTCAGTTGAGTTTCTGTTTACCATATTTGGTGGAATGGACTCTAAATTCCATATAAAATAGCTTCATTTGTCCTTCCAAGATGAATAAACATCTTATTTGTTTTGAACGACATGAGTAACTGATGACAGAATTTTCATTTTTGGCTGAACTAACCCTTTAAGACGCAATAGTAAAACTATTCTAATGTTTAGAGAGATCATCACAAACAGTCTGAAAAAACTAATTTTCAGTGCAAGAAACTTTGAGTAGCATAAATGAACGGAAAAATAAAAGCGCTAGCTATAAGTGTAGGTAGGATATGGCGTCTAACGGATTTTTGTTTGCACATGTAGGTGTCTTCCATGCAGCAAGAGCTGTGTGTGAAGGAGCAGGGTTTGGAGTCCACGCTGAGAGAGATAGAGGAGAGCAGTAAAAACTCCAGCACTGGTTTGACCAGACTGCTGCTCGCTCAACAGAAAACCATCAGCCGCTACAAAGACGAGGCCAAGAACCTCACACAGGCTTTCCAGCAGAAACTCAGCAGCCTCAGGTGAACGCTCAAACACACTTGACATGCACAGATCCCGCAGAAGAGTTGTTTACTAAGGCAAGACACACCATTACTGTTACTCATGTTCAGGGTTAGTGATCTGGACAGACCACTAAGTATTACACTTCGGTGTGTAATTAACACAGTTAAATGGATGTGAATGATACCCAAAACACCTTTAATGCTCATGCTCCACTCATTAAATCCTATTACTGTTGTATTGAGAAATAACTACCATATAACAAGCTTACTGATTAAATATAATGCGAATTCATTGAATAAAGCAGGTCAAGTCTGGATCGCGGCATCAGGAAGGTTGAATTAAAAAAGACTATGATTGTTGCAGATCAGAGCTGAACAGACAGAAACAGCGCGCTCAGGAACTGGAGATTCAGATGGAAGCTGATCATCAGAAGATACTGGAGGTGTGTACATGCAGATTTGTTTGTACTCCGGAAGATGTTGTGTGCTGTAAGTGGGTGAATTTCTGTGGGTTTTTCAGTGAGTCATGGGATGTTATTTTTACCCCTAGTATGAGAGGCAGGTTTCGGAGCAGCAGGAGAAGAACACGCGTCTACAGAGACGTCTTACTCAGGCAGAGCAACGTGCAGCCAGTGTATCACAACAGGTATACGCTCCATACTGGATATTTACACACTTCCTGCCTATTGAATGCAACAGAGGCCACTCACTTTTTCAGCAGCCTTGGTTCAGGAAGTCGTTTTCCTATGGGGATTTTAAAGAAGCATTCATTTTAGAGTTATAAGCCATGAACCAAACCAAATGGCTGCAAGGGTGATCACTAAATTACTTTGATTTGAAACAAAAAAGAATTTAGAAATTTGTAATTATTAATTTGAGAGTGGTTCGCAGTGCTCATACACACTCAAGTGGATGTGGGTGGGCGCTAATAGTGTATCACTTTTGGCATGATTTGCAATTCTCTTATTGGTGGTGATTTTTTTGATAATCATGGGTAATGTAGTTTTTCACCAGGAATTCTGCTGTTGAACAGTCTGTCTTTTAGAGGTTTTTGTTATTGTTGAAAATCAGTTCCCCTAATAGAGAAATTGAATGGGATTTTTACTTGCGGAACCTGACTGTCGTGCTCTATAGCTGCTGGATTGAGGGTGCACAGAATCCCTCTAAACTGCTTTTTCTGTTTCAGCCGAGTGTGATATCACAACGGAGAAAAGCTGCGTCCATGATGGATCTTGAGACTTTATCATAGATATACACCACCATCATCATCTAAAAAGAATCACCCTGATCAGTTTGTTGTTGGACTTCATGTTTAGTGTCTTTCACTGGCAGGATTACCCATGTGTTCATTGACAATTAATTTAATAAAAAGACATTGATGAGTTCACCACTAACCGTTGAGGAAAACATTTTATAATCAATGCTTTGGGAGAAATGTCATCTTAAAGAATTAATTGGCTTTTTACACTACTGCTGAATGAAACTGGCTAACATAAAAGTAATCAGTTGTTTTTGTCTTAGTGATTGTAAGAAATGACCAGACAGTGTTGCCAACTGCTTTCAATTGAAAGTAGCTAAAACTGGTAGCTAAATGTCACTAGATGACATCACAATGGCAAATTCACTTATCTATATCAATATGAACTTAGATCAGTGGGCAAGAGGAGAACTTAGATAAGGTTTGTCCAAGCAGTTGCTATATTTGTCCCTAAACTTTTGAAAAAAGTCTCAAAAGGGGCGGGGAAGTCGCTAAATCTAGCTACAAAGTAGCTAAATTGGCAACACTGTGACCAGATTTAAATTAACTGATGGAGTCACTGCATTACTTTTTTTCTTGGTGAATGTAATATCCTGTAGGATTTTGTTTCAAAGAAGGCCCATGTCAAAGTTTCTACCAAGCCAAAATATACCACATATTTTGTTCTTCTGGTTAGTTGTGCCATTGTAAGAACTGACCAATAAATGCAGTCATTTATACCAGTGGTTCCCAACCCTGGTCCTGGAGGCACCCCAACACTGCACATTTTGCATGTCTCCTT